AGATGGTTGTTAGCTGCAATGTGGGTGCTGGGAATCGAACCCGGGTCCTCTGTAAGAGCAATCAGTGCTCTTAACTGCTGAGCCAGCTCTCCAACCTAAAACCATAGACCTTTATTAAGCTTAGTTTCCTGTCATTCACAGATTCCAAATTCAATAAGGTAATTTGAACACTGCAGGAAATGTTAATAAAAGCATTATATTCTAATGGAAGTGACTGTTCAGGGACATTTTGACTTCAGTTCCTTCCATGTTGTCCAGCTGTAGTGATGAACAAGTGAACTTTTACCGATCTGTCTTAGGAAAACTTAGGAAAGTTTTCTTCCTGTTCTTCCCAGGAATGGCTCAGAAAACCTCTGTCTGAGAAGCATGAATGCTTCCAAACAGTACACAGTGATCTCTAAGGACCGACTTATGGCCCCAATTTAATTTCCGTGTGTCCAACACTTCAACCAAGTGGACAGTTCTTGGTTGAAGAACTGGCATCAAACTCACATACCTTATACTCACTTATTTTTAATTTGTCCTTTATGCTTGGTCAAGAGGAACGGATTGGAACCACTGTCAGAGGAGCAAAGGCTCTTCCTCTGTGAAAGCCTCTGACACTCAGGAACTTGTCTGCACTCACAGCTGGGCCGTGTTCTCCAGTTGAACACAAACAAGCTCACAGAACCAATGTTAGACTAGGTCACTCTGAGACTACCATAAAGTGAGACAAAAACAAGCTGCCTGAGCAAGCCACAAAACCTGGAAGAGTCTTCTCTCTTACCTCAGGTGAGCAGCTCCAGGTTTTAAAAGACGAACCTCGACTGTATGCTCCCTTCAGTCTGCCCCTTTGCAGGTGATGTTTATTGAGATTTCAGGTGCAGAACTGCCAGTGCTCCTGGACAGCACCCAATCCCCAGCAAGTCCTAAAGTATCCAACTGAAGCCAAAGTCATGTAGTGGGTTCTTCTGACGTCCTTTGACTGAGATGCCCATGTTCTCTCCGTGTATATTTTCTGAGCTCCATTGAGTAATAAACTCAACTTGTGTGACTTTCAATGTGTCATTGGTGGTCTCTGGCTAGAGGGCCTGTCACCTGTAGTACCTCATGGCATTCTCCCTCCTCCCCCATTAAAAACCCCTTTCTGTTCCAGTCCTACATATCTAAGCTGGCTTATGCCAAAGGTCACTAACATCACTGATGTTTATCTCAACTTCCCCTGACCACCTGAGATTTAAGTCTGTTTTATGTATTTAGATCAACTAATAAGAAGTTTACAATATTGGTTGGTTTTTATTAATATTCAAAACCTTAATTAAGGCTTATATTTTTTTTGTATGACTTTGTTTCTAAGCCTACAAAAGCAGAGAGAATGAAAAGAGAAATTCTACATTTGAAATAATGAATCTGGAGTTGCCTTTCTAAACTCTATTTACCTTGGTAGTGAGTAGAGGAGTTTTTTAGGTTCTTGGCTCCTGTTGAAAGCCACAAATGGGACTGCAAATGAGCCTAGGTACAGTATGTATTTGGGCCCTGGACTACAGGGGTTTATTGGTAAGGTGAGGGGTCTTTCTATACCATGAGACTTCCAGACCCCTTGATGGATTGCTTGTATATTGTCTTTGAACATCTCACCCTTCTCCCACCTATTTAACTCCTCAACTATAATAAATGATTTTGGAAATTTCTTTCCTCCTCCTCCTGATTCGAGACAGGTTTTGGACAGTGTCACCATATAGCCATGGATGGCCTGGAATTTGCTATATCAACAACTGGCACCAAACTCACAGATATCTACCTGCCTCTGCCTTCCAAGTGCTGAGATTGAAGGTATGAGCCACCACCTCTGGTATTTTGGCACTTCCTGAAAATGCATTTCATATAAAATTTAAATAGTTCATTGAGAGACCTTTAGTGCTTCCTTGTATGTTTCATATTGCCCATATCTCTATCATCTGTCTATCATCTATCTATCTATCTGTCTATCTATCTATCTATCTATCTATCTATCTATCTATCTATCTATCTATCTATCATCTATCTATCATCTATCTATCTATCTATCTATCTATCT